CTATTTGCTTTGGTTCTATTTTGTAGGTCATATTCTCTTGTAATTCCACTTTTTCAGCTCAATCACTTGGGAAGGATTCGATTGATACTTCTAAAGTTGAGACACGTGGAATACATTATGAAGCCCAAATAACTGTGGAGGTAAAGCAATTCGATAGGCAACTGGTCCGATTCTCTCCAAGACTTTAAACAGACCCATGAATTTGAGAGTCAATTTTTAGGCTCTAATTGATCTCCTAATTCTTGTTACTGGTGTAACTTTCATAAACACGTGATTGCCTACCAAAAACTCCAATGGCCTCCTTCTTCAATCAGCATAGCTCTTTTGCCTACTTTGAGCTGTCAATAACTTCTATCGTATCTGTAATATCCACCTTGACATTACTAAAATTCACCACACAATCACAACAAACAATCATAATTAGGAGTAAGGATTTACTCTTAAGTTCACATTATAGATATAAGGGTTAAAAATAATAATATTTTAGAAATAATTGTCAAATATTTGAGATCCCATAAAAATCCTTCAAATTTGTAAGTTTAAGCTTAAACTTATTGATTTATAAAGATATTGGAAGCATGGAAAAGTTTTGGGAAGCAAAATACTTCAAAACAGGGCCAAAAATGTCATTTTTGAGTATTTAATCTATACGCCACAACTTGTGCTCCATGTGCCACGGCATGTGGCATAGAAAGGCAAGTTTTCTCCCTATACTGTGCGCCATAGCTTGCGCGAAATGCGCTGCGGCTCAGATGTCCATGACAGCAATGCTGTCATGATAGCTTTTTTGGACGAACTTCAAACACGTGCCATTTTCACATCAATGTCCGATTGGAGTCATTTAAGCGCCCACGCGAAGCTTATTCGATAAGCTAACTAATGGTATAAGTTTCGTTACGATTTGACACCGTATGAGAATTTTAGACACTTGGATGTAAAAGTCAATTTTTAAAGCAATTTTCAACCATTCAAGTACCAAAAACTCATAACTTATACCATTAACCCATTGTGAGGCTTGAACCAAGTATAATGGACTAAAATACATTTGATTGAGCATTCAAACACACAAAAACATATCAAACACAAAATTCAGCTACTCAATGGCCATTTCACCCAATATAGCCAAAATACCAAATCAACACCATATATACTATTTGGCCTCTATTGCCACATAATATACTACATATACATTGTCACCACATAAAACATTCCTTGCACTTGTAATAGTATTTTAACCCATCACTATAAAATTGCCACATATTCACATCATACACAGTATTGGGCTAAAATACGAAATAACATAATATAAAACAAGTACAACTAATCAAAATGATATGCATTCCTAGTTAGCAACATATCATATCATCCATATAGGTTTATGTACACCACTCAAACCAAAATCAGGTATTACTATTTGTGATGTAGCAAATCTACTAATCCTTGCTCAATTCCTGCCCTTGCTCAGTCTCAGCGGTAGAACCTGGTAGATGATAACCACGGGGTGAGATAAAAATCTCAATAACTAAGATAATGTACATTATTGATTAACATGAAAAGCTATAAACAAGCATTAAAATAAGTAAAATAACCACACCATATAAAATCACCACAAGTTACATGCATGATCCCTAACAATCCAGTCTTCCAATACTCCATATTGAGCCGGTAGGCTATTTCACAGAACCAAACCACATGTACGATCCTCAAGCTCACCATCCATGGCAGGACTACCTGGCCAAGGTGTCTTAAACCACCTTTGGACAACTGGTTCCCCCTATCACAAGTAATTAGGGTGTTGTTACTCCAATACTTCATCCTACGGATGCTAAGGAGCATAATCTCCAACTCCACACCCTTTTGGGTACTAAGGGGAGTAAATCTCCAACACCGCACCTATTTTCGGGCACTAAAGAGAGTAAGTGCTGCACCTGGCATCCTAAGGTGCCAATAGTGCTATATGGACTTAATCTTCACTGACTCTATTAGGATAACCTTCCACCCTCTAATATGCCACATTTCACTACATATCTCAACTTGATCATGTATAAACAATTTTCTAAATAATTATAACAAATCTTACCATTTACTTCAAAAATATGGAATTTCACAAACCAATACTCCACTCATTTTCTAAAATAGTTAATCTTTACAAAATTTATACATATATACAGAACAAATCATAAAACAACTTGAGAATAACTTATACAAGGTAATAAATAATGTAAATTATCTAGTTACCTCAATCTTTTTGTTACTAAAAGGGTTACTCATGGTACTAAATCTCTTTTTGTGTCAAGGCAAATCTTCTCACATCACAATCTATATCAACAAGTACTATATATTAATTTTCAATTAACACAAGCACTATTAGCTACTAATAACCTTCCAATTCTCCCACTTCTCACTTATATTCTCAACAAATAGGCTTGTCAAGATTACAATTTGTTCATACAATCCCTTCAAGCCTCCCTCTAACTCTATCACATCATAGCACTTAATATCTCAACTTATCACACTTTAAAACCCTATAATCAAGTTAGGGCTTAATCCAACTTTCACTAAACAACAAAGTAGCTTTATATTACCACATATCTAAGATCAATAAACCTAAATCAAACCTTTAGAGTCAATAAAAATCTTCAAAACATAGACTTATGGCTTAATCTATTCAGAGAAAATTCTATGACATAGCGAGCAAAATGTTGATTTTGCACCCCTCGATGCCACCTGACTTGATCCGATTGTCATCCTAACTAAATTTAGAGCCAAATATGACCTAAAAATGTAATTAGCAACCCAAAAAAATATTTAAATTAATTAATCATATTTTTAACTGATTTATCCCTTATTTAGTCAATTTTTTTAGATTTGAAGTTTTTAAATGTTATAGTATCAACTCAATCTTCTAAGTGGTTTGATCTACCATATTTGGTCCCACTATGCTTTTTTCACTCAGTTGAGTTCAACATAAAGGTGATCTACATTTTCTTCTATATAAAACTTCATACGGAGCCATTTGATTGCTGGAATGATAGCTATTGTTATATGTAAATTCAGCTAATGGTAAGTTGCTATCCTAACTACTATGCAACTCTAGCACATAAGATCGCAGCATATCTTCTAGAGTTTGAATAGTCCATTTAGTTTGCCCATCAGTCTGAGGATGGTAAGCGGTACTAAACTTCACAGTAGTACCCATGGCTCTTTGCAACACTCCCTATAACCTTAATGTGAATTATGGATCTTGATTAAAAACTATATCCTTAGGCACTCCATGTAAACGTACAACCTCACGGATATAAATCTTGGCCAATTTCTCTAGAGAATTACTAATCTGAATAGCTAAAAAGTGAGCTAACTTTGTCAACTAGTCAACTATTAGTTAAATAGCATTATGTCCCAACTGAGTTCTTGGTAACCTAGGGATAAAAACTTAGGTATTTCCAATGGCTGTAATGTCTCAGCCAGACTCTGGTGCTTGATTTTCATTTTCTAATAAGTCAAGCACCGTGCTGCAAACTCAATCACCTCCCTTTTCATTCCTGGCCACCACCAATAATGCTTATCATCCTAATATATCTTCGTAGCTCCTGGGTAAATAGTGTACTTTCTGCAATGTGCTTCATTTAGAATCACCTTTCTCAAATCTCCATCACTAGGCACACAAATTCTATCTCGATAAACTACGAATCCATCATCATTGAAACTGAAATCCTTAGTTAGATTCAACTCAACCTCTTCTCAAATCTTAAAAAGATAGTCATCTTCTAGCTACGCCATTCTTAATTCCTTTTAAAAATCATCATCGATCATAGTAGTATAAGTACTAACTAAAGCTTTCAATGGCGCATCTTGTTGAAAATCAATAAAAGACTCAATTAGATTGTGTTCTTGGACCATCAAACTAGCTATGTGTAGCGACTTCCTGCTTAATGCATTAGCTACCACATCAGCTTTCCCTAGATGATATTTTAACTTAAAGTTATAATCTTTAAGCAATTCCATCCATCTTCTTTGCCTCATATTTAATTCCTTATGATCCATTAGATACTTTAAACTCTTGTGGTCACTGAACATGCTAAACATTGACTCAAACAAGTAATGATGCCAAATCTTTAGTGCAATAACCACTGCTATCAATTCTAAATTATGAGCCAAGTATTTCTCTTCATGTGGCCAACTTATCTTGATGCATATGCCACTACTCGTTTATCTTGCATCAATACATAACCCAAACCTCTCAATGAAGCATCCGTATACACCTCATATGGTAATCTCAGATTTAGAATTTTTAACGCAGGTATAGTAGTCAACTTTTCTTTTAACTTCTGAAATGTAGTCTCACACCTATCATTCCAAATGAAAGGTTGATCTTTTCGAGTCAATTTCGTTAATGGGGAAGTAATATGAGAGAAACCTTGGATAAACCTTCAATAATATCCAGCTAATCCCAAAAAAATTTAAATCTCCATAACTGAACTAGGCCATTCCCATTTCAACACAGTGTCAACTTTATGAGGATCAACAGAAATCCCATTTGCTAATACCATATGGCCTAAAAATCTAACTTCTCTTAGCCAAACCTCACACTTATTGAGCTTGGCATAGAGCTTATTCTCCTTAAGAATCTAAAGGACAATCCTAAGATGTTTGTCATGTTGTTCCTCATCTTTTGAATAAACTAGAATGTCATCAATGAAAACTGCAACAAACTAGTCTAAATATGGTCTAAAACTATGGTTCATGTAATCCATGAAAATCATAAGTGCATTGGTTAGACCAAAAGGTATGACAAGGAACTTATAGTGCCCTTAATGCATATGAAAGGCTGTCTTAGGTACATCTTTCTCTGAAACCTTCAACTGATAATACCCTGACCTCAAGTTAATCTTGAAAAAGACTGAGTCTATAGCCAACTAATCTAACAAATCATCAATCATGGGTAAAGGGTACTTATTCTTCACCGTTATCTTATTCAATTTCCAGTAGTTGAAACATATCTACAAACTATCATCCTTTTTTCTCACAAATAACACCAGCAAACCCCAAGGTGATACACTCAACCTGATAAAACCTTTGTTAAGCAAATCATCAATCTGCTTCTTTAACTCATTGAGCTCTGAGGGTGACATCCGATAAGGGGCTTTAGAAATTAGCTCAGTATCAGGAACCAAATCTATTGAGAATTCAACTTCTCTTTCTGGAGGTAATCTAGATATCTCTTCGGACGATATCTCAAGAAATTCACTTACCACTCCAATCTTCTCAATACCCCTATAATACACTATTTTCTGTACAAATTACTATGTAAGCATCACACCCTTGCTTAATTAGCTTCTTAACTCACACCACTAATAAAAACCTAAGTTACTCAGAGAACTAGTTCCTACCAACGATAATGGCAAAGAGACTAGCTTCCTGGCACAATCTAGCATAACATTATTAGCTGCTAACCAATCCATACCAACTATCACATCAATCCCTTTCATAGGAATGCAAATAAGATTGATCACAGATACTTCATCCGCAAATACAATCTTAACTTTCAAACATACTTTGCTAGTAATACTCGTGGATCTAAAAGGCGTAGTCACTTTAATTATCATAGGTAGCTCTTTCAGTTCTAACTTCAATCTATCTACATATTCTTCTGAGATGAACGAAAATGTAGCTCTCGAATCAAATAAAGCTTTAATTCTATTACCACAGATAGAAATAATATCTTTAATCAAGTTTTGCGATGCTCTGGCCTCTTCTTGCGTCATAGCAAACACTCATCCTGGAACTGTAGTACACTGTTCTGCCATCTTAGCTCCACCTTCAGAGCAATACTTGGTTATATGTCTTAAATTCCCATACTTGAAACAAGACCAACATTTTCCTACATGGAATCTATCACATATATTGTACTGGGGTGACCTTCCAGTGCTAAAAATAGGAGTTGGTGTGTCGAGGGTTGCCTTGAAGGTTGTTGAGGCCCAATTCTAACCCCAGTACTTCTCTATATAGACCCTCTCTAAACTAATCAAGTCTGAGGACCTCTACCAAAACTCTTCTTCCTATAAGCACCATAATTGCTTGAGTTATACACGAGCTTCTTCGATACGCCACCTGACAAACCCAAAGAAGGTGTAAATCTTCCTACACTATCCCTCTTCTTCTCAGCCTCTCTTCATAGCTATTCTTAACTTATGACATATGTCCCCATAAGTAGTAATGTTGAACAAAGTAATTTGTTGCTTGTACTCTGGATGCATCTCCTCTAAAAACTGTTCTGCCTTCTACTTAGCGTCATTGTGGTGCTACAGATAGGTAGAATAGGTTGACAAGTCATTGAATCTCTTTATCAATTCCTCTTCATCCAAGTCCCCCTACCTGAATGTATGGAATTCTTTTTCTTTCTCAGTATGAAAAGAAGCTAGAAAGTAATAGTCAAAGAACACCCTCTTAAATTCTTCCCAAGAATACCTCACGCCTGTAACATCCCTAATTTTAAATATAGACTAATTAAGCTTAAAAAGATTAGTAAAGAAAATCTTTAAGTTGTATGGACATAAAGGTCTAACGGGCTTGTTTGACCTCGATTTTAGTTTCAAACGTGGGTTTGAAGGAGAATTGGGTCACCCAGGGATAAAAGAGGAAGAATTTCTGAAGGGAGTGGTTCTGTACCACACACCATAGCGTGGGGTTAGTCCGCCATGGCGCATACGTGCCAACACGCTTGGGAGAAGCTTTCTATGCCATGCGCCGTAGAATTTTATAGTATTAAGTTGTGAATCTAAAGTGAAAATGAGGAGAAATCAAAAGAGAATGAAGGAGTAGAGAAAAAGCTAACCTAGGGTTTGAAGAAACTAATTGTTGGGAGTAATTTGGAGCTCATAAACCCCCAAGGTAAGCCTCCTAGCTTAAATCTTCCTCTCTTCTTGCATTTTCTTGATAGTAAAAGTTAGGGTTTGATTTCTAATGGTGATTTTTGATTCATAGAGGTTATGGATCTAAACCCATTGACTTAAATAGAATTAATGGGGTTAGGTTGAGCTAAGTAAGCTTGATATTTATAATTTTATGATGATTGGTAGTTGGAGGATATTAAATATCCAAAATTCCCATAAATTTGGTGGTTGGAGATAATGTGGCTTCATTAATGCCCATTTAAGAGCTTAATGTTATAAATGAGAGTTAAACGAAGCTGAGAAACCTTATGGGTACTTGTACATGACTTTAAGAGTAAAGCTTGAGTATTAAAAAATGATAAAAATGCTGGTAAAAAATAGCTCAAAAATAGATATTGATGTTTTGCGTGGAAAATGCTTGTAGTGTAATTACTATTGGTACCATTCAAGCTTCTTGGAAGCTTCGGGAATGAATAGTTGAGGGGTGAAACCTTTGACCTTTCAAAGGTTTGAGGTAACTAGGAGAATTCTATCTTATTCTTGTGTGTGTCTATTGGTTTGTTGATTTATGAATTATTATTAAAATATAAAAAAACTAGAGAAAATGCAAGTATGGCTTAATTTGTGAAGAGATCCACTAGATCCAATTTGAGAGTTGTATGTCTTATGATGTAAAGTTTTCCTTGAGAACAATAGTGGTGGATTTTCATATTAATATTCCTTGGGAGTGTAATGATCTTTACAAATTGAGAAGTTCAATGATTGTGTAATGATGAAGTTCAATGATTTTAAAAAGTGTGAGGTACAATGATTGTGATTTGGGAGTTCAACGACTTGTTTGGTTTGAAGTTCCATGAAATGTATTTGAGAAGTTCAATGATTGTGTGATGATGAAGTTCAATGATTTAAGTGTCAGGTACAATGATTGTGATTTGGGAGTTCAATGTCTTGTTGGGTTTTGAAGTTCCATGAAATGAATTTGAAGAGTCCAATGATTGTGTAATATGAAGTTTTAAGAATTGTATGTGTGAGTTATGGCATGAATGTCCATTGTATGATCTTGAGAGGCAAGAGTTTGCCTAAGAAGTGGAGTAAATGAGAAATCTATATGGTAAGGCCCCATCTATGTGACAGATTACCTAGATTGATTCTATCCATATCGTCCTACTTGTTCAAAGAGGAACTATCTCACTGGTTCAATGAGAGACTCAAACCTAGCTATCTATCCACCAGTTCAACAAGGAAGTTAGTCTAGGGTATATGACACCCCATAGTGTGAGAAATGGGGAAAATTGAGATCCATAAGTGATTCGGGTACTCCTTGGCCGGGTAAGCCCTCACAAGTGTTTAGGCTAGGGAAGTCAAAGAATATAGACTATACCATTGAGTTATAGACCACGGTTTCGTTTCAGAGGAATAAGGAGGTGATAAGGGAGGTGTGATCATGCATATAGTGAGTAAAAGCACTTTTTGTCTATATTGAGTCCATAATGATGGCATTTTGAGTTGAGTATTAATTTTTGCTATTATGCTTGTCAATAATTTACTTAATCAACTCTATCTCTATAAAAAGTGCTAAAAGTGATCTTTTCTAAGTAGTTGCTATTATGTGAGCTGAACTATGTATATTAAGTTTTCAAGTGTCTCACATAGGTTAGAGTATTAATAATAATTTTCACTTGAATTTAAACTAGATGTCATGTATTAGTATGGGCTAGTCAGACTTTGGTTACTGAGTTATTGTACTTACCACGTTATCTTCAATATTACAGGAAATAGCTCAAGAAGTGGAGATAGAGGAAAATAACCTAAGACTTAAGACCACGTGTCTTCTGTAATAAGCCTCCTTATTTTTGGGTAACTTATGTGTATGACAATTTTGATTGCTAACTAAGATTTTCCTTTTTGTTCCTTTCTTACATTAATTGAATGTAAATTGTAATGGTATTTTGGGCCCTAAGGAGAGAGTTGATTATATTGTATTATGATGATAGAGCAAAAATACTAATGCAAGTGAGGGTAGTGGATTTTATGTGATATTTGGGGAAATCTTGGTGAAATTGTCACCAACTCTCCCTTCCTATATTTTTGAGTTCAAGGGGTTGAGTAGTGAAAATTTTATTTAAAAATATTTCATGACTCGTGGTGCATTGTATGAGTTGCTGTTGATGATGTGAGTGTGGTCATATTGTTGTTAGTGGCTTATGGTCTTCAGTATTTGTTTTAGACATCCGAGTTTGTGAAAATTGTTATAATATTGTAGGATTTGAAAAAGGTGTCCAATTTTTGTTTTAAAAATGATTTGAGCCTGAGACTAATGCCCCTAGTTAGAGCCCAGAAAGAGATTTCTGTAGACTCCTAATTCACGTCATTCCGATATTGGAAAGAGATTTAGGGTGCATTGGAAGTTGGCCCAAAAGCTGTCAAATTGATAGTAGAATTCACTGTCAAAGTTCATGTATTTGCACCACAGTGTAAGGCATCACGAGTTGTGGTGCATGTCACATAGGTGAACACACGGCGGCGCATGTTCAACGAGTTATGGCACACTCCTTTTAATTTTTCATAATTTTTCTTGTTCCATACTTTTGTACCTATATAACCACTTGTGTGTTAATCCCATGCTTCCGCATAAATGTGAACTTTGTTTGGCCTCTTTGCTAGACTTGATTGGACATTTAATTTATAACCTTGGGGATCCCATTTTGTTAACCAACAAGAATTTTGTATTTAATCATTACTATCGCCTAATTTTTTTTAATTTCTTGTGATTTGGGTTTTCATTGTGAGATAAAGGGAGGAGGATATTACAATTTGGTATCAGAGCCAAGTTTATTACAACTTGGTATCAGTTTCTCTAGTTATGAGTACTGGTATATGGATTATGTTTCATAATCATGTTTATTTATGCATTTGCATAAAGAGTTGTCAATTGTCATTATACACATATTGTTTTCCTCTCTTGAGCTAGCACTGATCCTTTCCTTTTGTGGGGTGACTTCCATCCATAGGAGAGGAGAATGGTGTAAACAAGACACATAGTAAAAAATGTTCTATTAAACCTATTCAGATGAGAGCAAGAAGTTTCGGTAGAAGTGGAGAATGAAGTAGTTCCAATTGAAGAAGAACAAGTAGAAACGAGATGAAACCAAGAACAACTCGTATGCTTCACGGGTGGGGATAATTTATTACTCGAGTTAAGAGCAATGATGGAGAGAATTGAGAAGAGATTGGATGATCATGATAAGATTCTTGAGAAGAAGTCTAAAGAAGGGTGTAGTAGCACGGTTGATAAAACAGGAGGTAACCTTAAAAAGAAGAAAAGAGTTGAGATGCTAGAAGACGTACAAGGGCATAAAGATGAGGAGTAATATGAGCAGAGTGCACCTAAGAGGCTAATGTGTTCTATGAGGCTGACTGAGAAGGAATATGAGGGTTCTATTGACTACACACTCAAGAGATTCACGAGGTTGAATCCTCCTCATTTTAGTGGTTCTATGGAGGATAGAGCTGGTGAGAAGTAGATAGATCGGTTGGAGACTATATTCTCTGCGATGACCTACACCATAGAGCAGCTGGTACTTTTAGATACTTTCATGCTAGAGGATGCCACCAAACAATGGTGGGAGAGTGCAAGGCTAGCTGATGGCTCCTTACTTACATGGAAGGAATTCAAGAGGAGATTTTTCACTCATTATTTCCTATCTACCTTTCGAGTAGAGAAGGAATCTGAGTTTCATTGCCTACAACAAGGTAATATGAATGAAGAAGAGTTCATTGTCAAGTTCAATAAATTGTTAAAGTATTCAACCTATTTGAGACATCATGATGATGAGGAGTAGAAAGTTGAGCAGTTCTTAGATAAGATGCAG